CCGCCGCATCCGTAGCGTGATTCCCACTGCCGCTCGGGGCGGCTCCTGCCCCTGGCAATGCGCGTGTCCCCCAGCCCCCTTGGCCTTTCCAACCCTTTTCCCCCCGACAGTGTCTTCCAGGCCCAAGGCAAAGGCTGATCCTGGAGCTTGGGCCATGGCTCCATCCTGCTGGCCTGGATTTATCCCATTCCACTCCAGCAGGGAGAGAGGATGAGTTCCCAAACCCTGTCTTGCTTTCAAGAGTCCCTTATTGAGCAGCGAAACATAAAATAGCTCTTTGCACATGGTGTTTTTTTTTTTTTTTCCTTTTTCTTTTTGTAATTCTTAAATACGCGTAGTTTACACTCGGCAAAGGTTCAAAGCAACAACATCAAAGTGCGGCTACAGGTGACAGTACCAACCAAAGTGCTAAAACGAGGGGCTCCCGCGGGCGCTGGCGGCGCAGGAGGGGCGTTTGGTTCTCCGGACACTGGCACGTCGCTGCGAAAGACTAAAATAAAGCTAGATTTGTAGAGAGTTTAAAAAAATAAGTTAGAGGACCGACTTGCTACCTTCCCAGGGGCCGAGCTGGAGGGACCGCTGTGAGGAAGAAGTGCTTTGGGGAAATGATTGCCATTTCGGGGGACATATATATATGTCTACATATATATTTATATATATTTATCTCGGTCTGCATGATTATCTCGAAGCAAGTTTGGCTCCACGGCTGGGGGCTCCCTTGCTAAAAGCCATCCTGCCCTCCTAGCCCATTGCACCTGCTTGGTCCCTTAGTTTGGCCAGGAAAAAAACCCTATTTTACCGCTTTGGGGTATTTTTTATTTTTCCTTCCTCTCTTTGCTTGCAGGGAAGGATCCTCGAGGGCTTTTCCCGGGAGGTGGGAAGGGGCTGGTTTCTGTCCCTAACCAGTGTTATTTGGCACCAATTCCCAAAGGGTTTCACTCGGCCTGAACCTGCGGGTTTTCAGCCCCAGCACTGGCTGCGGAAACGCACTCACGTTGGTTAAGGCTTGGCCCGGGGCCCCTCGAGCAGCACTGCGAAGGCGCTCGCCCTCGTCTCGCCACGGAGGTGGGACGTTGCCTTGGGGAAACACCAGCCTCGCCTGGTGGAGGAAAGCTAGGAGTGGAGAAAAAAAACCACATTTTGAGTTTAGAGAAAAAATTGTGCTGAGAACGGCCTCTATTGGTATTTTCGGTATTTTTCTTTCCTCTTGTTTTAATCTCATCAGGAGCCTTTAGAGGAGCTGAGCAAAGTGCCTTGGCTGTGCCCTGGGTGGCAGCTGCGTCTGTGACACAGCAAAAAAAAAATTTCTTTTTTTCTTTTTTTCTTTTTTCTTTTTTTTTCCTTTTTTTTTTTGTTTTCCGTTTGCCTTCTTTGAAACTGTCCCAGCCCAGGGCCGCGTTTGTCTGTCTTTGAGATGTTCCGTCCCTGCCCTGCTCTGCTTGGTGCCTCCCAGAGGGTGGTGGCCCTGGCCACGTTGGGGAAAAATGGACAGAAGATGGGAAAAGCAGCTGCCTTTTGGCCCCTCTCCAATGTCCAACATCCAGGGCATCATCCCAACACCCTGGATCCTCAGGGCTCTTGAGTGACACTTTGAGAGCAAAGTCTCGCCTTGAAAGAGCAGCTGGTGGCGCCCGTCCTTGTGCCACCAACCCTTGCTGGGTTTGCTGGTGTTGATCCTCTTGGAATCCCCGACTGGCACCACCGTAAGAGAAACGGAGGGAAATCCTGCTAAAATTGGCCATGAGAAGCTTTGGGCAATGTCAGGAGCAAAAGGGAACCACCAAAACCTGGTCCCAGAAGCCTCACATGGAAGCAGGTCCCAGCAGAGCCGGGTGCCACCATGGGCCAACTCCTCCTGGGAAAAAGCAGCTCTTGGTGGACACTCACCCCTCATTTTCCTGGCATCACACTGTGCATTGTCATGGCTGATTCCTGGTGTGGCTTCTCTGGTGTCTAATACAAGGTTGAGCTTCACTGCAGCAGATCCTTCCCTATGAGCTCCCTCTCCAGCGGCCTGATTTCCCGTTGCTTCCGGAGGACTTGAGATCCTCTGCCTTGTCCATCACCATCCAATTTGGCTAAAACCACCCAGAGGGTTTATAAGTTCTTGGGGAAGGAGACCAGATGCAGAATGTGAGCGTGTTGCCCTCATTTGCAGAGGGGATCGGGCTGAAATCTCAGGACTGACGAGTGAATCCTATGGATACAGGGGAGCACAGGATGAGCCCCCGGAGCTGGGCAGAAGGGAGGTTTCCACAGGCCACCCCAGTGGGATGGGGAGGGACTAGGACACCACATGCAGCTCGCCCCAGCCTCAGCTCTCCCGCGGAGCCGTCCGGGAGCGGGTCAATACGACATCCCAGTGGAAGAAACACAGTGTCTTAATGAGCTCGTTGCCACCAACAATGAGGCCAATCCTGAGGCGCTGGGAGAGGAGGGAGCCGGGAAGACAAGGGGCCCTTGGTGCTGCGGAGCCCGTATCGCCACGTCAGAGCGGCACACGCTGCGGGCTCCTGTTTCCCAACCGACACCTTCGTCCTGGCTGCGGAGGAGGAGGAGGAGGAGGAAGGGAGCAGCCAGGCTGCGGGTGCTGCCGCGCTCGGCTGGGGGGGATATCCTGGGTTCTGGAGGAGCTTGTCTGGTGAGCGATGGGCTTGCTTGGACCAGAGACTGGTGTGGAGGTGTGTGAACCAGCTCCTCTGCATCAGCAGAAAAATAAGCTGGACGGGGAAAAAAAAAAACCCTAATTTTCTGCTCATTTAGCCAGCTTGTCCGTCCTTGGGACACACTCTTAAGCTGGCAGCCCAACGGGTCCCAATCCCAGCCCTGCACCACCGGGAATCCAGCAGCATCCCGCGCCGGGAGCCTTGCCCACGACTCACACCGAGCAAAATGGGAGGAAATAAACCCCACTTTGGTCATCTTCAATGCCTGGAAACCCCCCCAGGGTCTCACTCTGCTGTGCTAGTTTTTTTTTTTTTTTTAATATGGACTACATTTGCTTTGTTCTAAGCCCAGGGGTTGGCTTCGTTTTGGAGCGAAAGACCGATGTCTGGGAGGCCGGTGGCTTGGCCCGCTCTCAGAGCGGGTGCGGGACGTGCCCAAGTACCAAATTCGGGTGACATTGACCCAGCAGGGTTTGCAGGGAGGGGACAATGACGGGAGATGTCACACACGGACTATCACACACCTACAGCTCCACACCACTGCGATCATGAGCAGAAACGTCCACGGACGACACGAACAGCCACTCGCCAACCAACAACCACCGTTCCTGCAAGAGTCCTCAACATCCTCAACATCCTTATTCCCCCCATTTCCACCAGCTCGTCCTCATCTTTCCCACAACCCCGAGGAGAGCTGGGCATTGCGGGAGGGACAGGGACGTCCTCGAACCAGCAGCAAACCTGGAGCAGACACCTTCTGTCTTCAGATGGGGCTCTCAACGTGATAGTCTTTAAGCATAGTCTATAAACATGCTGAGTATATATATTTTTCTTTAAAACCTTTTCTTGTTCTTCATCTTTTTTGTTCTTTACAGAAATAAATACTTATTTTGTTTCTTTTAAGACTTAATTTCGCAAGTCTCTGCGCTGGGGCAGAAGCTGCAACCCTTGTGGCAGCTCTCATGGGGAGGTGGCAGATGTGGAGGCTGGTGGGTCCCTCCCAGGGACTGCTCGTTGCTCTGCTCTTTTAAAATGCTTTTTTTTTTTTCTCCATTCTTGCTTTTTCCTCATGGAGTTGCACCCATCCCACCTTCCTTCCCAGCCCCAGGATGGAGGAGAGCGTCCGGCAGCGTGACGGATGAGGTCTCTGTGTGTGGAGGTGACATCCCTCCTAGCACAGCCCTCGTGGGACATGGGGATTTCTTCAAGGCAGCTCTTGGGGCTGAGTTTTGGGGGCAAGCAGCTTTTTCCTGCAGTTGGGGGAAAAACGGAGGTGCTTCGAATTGGGGGTTGCGGCGAAGATGCTGCGCACAACCCTACCCTGCTTCAGAGAAGGCAGCTTGGACAGGACGAGGGGGCGGATGAAATGCTCTGCTGAGACATCCGCTGCACCTGGAGCACCGAGAGGTGCCTACAGCCCACCCAGCAGCCCAAGGGTTCTCCAGGATCCACGAACCAGGTGTTTTCTCTACGGGGTTGTCAGCAGGGTGGGAGCTGCTGGGGATGCTCCAGGACAGCGTGTCCTGGGTTCGGCGCTGGAGGCCTTTGGGCTGGTTCCTGTGGCGTTCTGCGCTGGGGAGGCCTGGGCTGAGGTCTGCGGGTCTCATGATGGGGATGAGGAAGGTGTCAGCCTGTGGCTCTGCTCTCTGGCCCATGACTCAGTTGGGAGGAAGAGCAGCTGTCTCAGGAAAGGCTGGTCCCTAAGAGCCGCACGGCAGCTCCCGTTGGCCAACAGACACCAAAACCAGTGAGCCCAGAGCTGAGGACGAACTGCCCCCAGGGCTGCTTCTCCTGCTTGGCTCTTCTCACCTGGATGTTTTGGGTCCAATCACGTGTGGTTGGGTCTGGGGCTCGCTCCTCCCCAACGGCACTGAGTTTTGGGAGCTGTGTTTAAGGCCAATGTGTCTTTGCTGCTGGCAGTGCTCTGATGGGGTCCCCCACAGCCTGGAGTCCTCCTGGTATCTTCTTCATGGGGTGGAGGATGGAAACGATTGACTCTGTTGGATGCCAATTGAGAGCCTTTTTCTTTGGAAAACAAAAAAGAAAGGGGATGTGGGGAAGGGTGACTTCCCTCCAGGAATAAGGTAGCCAAAGGGAAGAAGAGGATTAACTGAAGACAAAAAAAAAAAAAAAAAGCCATGCCTGTAGATAAGGGATCTGCTGTTCAGGGCAGTGGGTTGGTGAAAAAAAAGAGAGCAGCTTTAGGTTTTGGAACAATTTGGGCAGGATTTCTGCGCCAAGCTGCTTGGGATGGGCTAGGCGATGGCTGGACATTGGTGCGAGCGGTGGCACGTCCCTCTGAGCGCTTCCTTCTGCCCATGGAGGTCCCTCTCTTGGCATGAGATGATCCATTCTGGAAGGGGGTTGAGTGGAAGGTGGACGTTCATGAAGACAGAAGCATTACCCGTGTTCCTTGGTGTTTTTTGGAAAGGGTTTATTGCCTTAGTGGGAAGGATTGGGTGGAGAGGAGGTGAGGCTGGAGACCTCCCGAGGAGCAACCACCTCCAGTCTGCGGTCTGGTTGTGCTGCTGGTTTCTGGGCAGTATTTGCCCTTGTTTGGGTGCCCTCCTTCCTGAAGAAACAGGTAAATAAAAAGGCAGCTGGCAGAGAGTCTGCAGGAGCGCCCAAAGAGGAGATGGGCCCTTCCTATGCCACTTGCACCATGCCATGGAGAGCACAGGGCTGCTTCAGCCATGGAGCTCAACTGGCTCCAGGAGCTCTATGAGGGACCAGCAGCAAGCCCAGCGGGTCATCTGCCAAGAGGCACCGGCTCATGGCCTCCAAACAGGCCTCCACATCACCTACCACAGCAGTGGAGAAGATGCCCCCATGTGGTGGGAGGGCACGGTGAAGGCCTGTGGGCTGAGACATGCTTGGTCCCCGTAACAACCAACAGCCCAAAAAAAGAGAAAAAATAAATAAAGAAGTTCAAAGAAAAAGACATTGCCTAAGCAGGGATCCTTGGCAATGAGCAGCTGCAGGGTTCGCAGCCGTCCTCCCTCCTGGGAAAGAGCGCGGCCGTGTCCCCTGGGGCAGTCTCCAAGTTTCCGTGAGTAGCACCTTCTCACCCGCAACGTGTCCGCGAGCCAGCGCCGGCCGCGGGGCACTAAGGCCTGCAAGAGTCATTTGCTTTTGTGCATGGGCCGGCGTCTCCGTGGCTCCAGGTCCAGAGCAGATGAGTGTTGGACCATCAGTTTGGTTTCTCTGGGCCACTGGGTCCGTCGGGCAATAGAGGGAATGTGCTTTGTGGATCCGTGAAGGTCTAACAGCCTCCTTCCACTTTGATGTGTAAAATCTTGGAAAAGCCAGGTCTTTTCCTCAGGGCCTGGGAGAGAAGCAGAGAGTGGGGTCAAGAAGGGAGGAAAACACCTGAAATGCCACCCGCTGTTGGTTGATCTATACTGGTGTCCCCACCATTCACATCCCTTGGGGACTCTGCCTCTTCATGGGACATAGAGGGGACACAGTGACATGGCACTGGCATCCTTTACCTGCAGTTTGTTCACCATTTCTTCAAACATCTTCTTGGCTTCTGGGCTGTGGGGCTCCTTGAAGTAGTCCACAATGCCCACCTGCACGACGATGGACTTCAGGTTCCGGCACACACCTGGGAGCAGAGACATCACCTGGCTTTGTCACAGCTGGGGGAGGAAGAGCTTTCCCACAGCTAGGATGGACAGTGGGGATGAGGTTACAGTATCCTACAACCCACCCAGGGTTCCTCAAGGCCTTAGGTATTTGTGGAAACCTCACCTTGAAGAGGGAGGAGATCTGCCCTTCATAGCAGGATGGTGATCTATATGATGGTCTCTGCTTGCCCTATGCCATTCAGATGTCCTTCCCTGAGAAACCTCTACGCTTCCATCCAGAAGGCAAAAGCCCAGCAAGTCCCGTCATGGTCACATGTGCCACCATCACCAAGAATGGCACCTCAAACAGACCCTTGCATTGGCTGTAGTCTCTTCCTACAAGGAGCTCCTGCCCAGGCAAATGGCCTCAGTAAACTCCAAACGTGAGCAACTCCAGACTCGTGCGTGCCAAGGTGGGTCTGGGATATGCCGCCATGGTGTAGGTTAGACTGGGAAAAGTCTAGAGGGAGTGTCTCCATCATCCCATGTCCCAAGGCAAGATCAGCTCTTCTTAACCCATCCTTGGCAGGCTTGTGCTGAAGCTGCTCTTAGAAACCTCCTGCTATGGAGATTCCAGCACTTCCCAACCTCCGATTAGCTCCCAGTGTCAGCAATGGGTTCTATTGGAACTGGAAGGCAAGGTCTGGCTCAGGGATCTGGACCTTTTGATCACCCTCCCCTCTGTCATAGCACCCTCCACACTGGATGTCTCCATTTTTGTGGATTCTGTGTCATACTTAGGCATCACTACTCACTGTTGAAGTGCAGCAGGGCTTTGGGGGTGACTGGTGTGGAAGTCAGCACGAGCATCTCCAGCCCCTTCAATCCCTCTCTACACACTTCTGCTGCAACCTCCTGGTTGATCTCCGCCACGTGGTCCAGCTCCAGGACCTGCAGCCGCATGCAGTTCCGGGCTGGAGAGACAGGGCATGTGCCATTGGAGGTGACAACACTCATTCACATCACCCCATGGGGAGAGGATGGGGAGAGAGGATGAGATCAGGGTGGTGGTAGAGCTGGGGTGGCAGCACGTGGAGGGGCAGGGCCTCTGCCATGGTCTTGGGGCTTGTCCTTGGAGGTCCTCATGGGATCCACAAGGGATCTGCCCCTGGCAAGGTCCCTTTCTCATGTCCCATCAGAGGAGAGCTTCTGGCTTCACCTACCTAAGGATGCCAGGCCCTGGACACCACAGCCTGCCCCTCCGACACCCAGTGCCCGCAGGTGCGGCCAGCAGCGGCCGATCATCTGAAGACAGCGGTTGCTGAAACGCGTTGGCTGCTGGCTGGGGAGATAAAGGAGAAAAGCTGGGGAGAGCTGGCGGATGAGCTTGCCTCCTGCCTTGGATATCTACATCTGCGTGCGGATGTCCAGCACCGGGGCTGCTCTGCACCGAACAGCAGCAGGACGTGTTTCTCTGCGTGTCTCCACTCATTGGTAGACTACCGGAGTACACATTTGTCTTAAGGCCCCCCCAAAACATCAGACAGGCTGCCTCGTCCCCCCCAGTATGAGCACACAGAATCACAGAAGATGTCCAGAGAAGGAGCCTCCACAACCTGTCTGGCAGCCTGTGCCAAGGCTCTGGCACCCTCACAGGAAAGAAGTTCTTCCTCACATAGAGATGGAACTTCTTATGTTTCAACTTGCACCTGTTACCCCTTGTCCTATCACTGGCCACTACAGAGAAGAGCCTGGCCCCATCCTCCCTACAGTCACCCCTCAGGTACTTGAACATGTTGATCAAGTCTCCTCTCAGCCTTCTCTTCTCCAGACTAAACAGGCCCAGCTCGCTTAGTCTTTCCTCATAAGATAGATGTGCAGCACAGGCAGACACTCACAGCTGGAGGGACACAGGATGTGCTGCCTGGCATTTCACCTGGAGAAGGACACAAGCTGCCACTGATTTTCCCTGCTGAATGATAGCCCTTCCCTACCCCTTGATCCAGCAATGCCACCTCATAGCCATGGACCCGTGGGCTGAAGGAGGATGTGACATTGCAATAAACCTTCCAGGACAAAAAGAAAGGTCCAAGAGCAACTTTATGGTATGGAGGCGAGAAGACGAGGGACCTGCTCTGGTTTCTCAGACACCCTCTTGATGACGTTGTCTAAGCGATAAATTCATTAGCACTCAGAGATGCTGCGGAGTGGGGAACCTCCAGCGTCTTCATGCCCAAAATAGTCTTCCAAAGTGAGAGAAACTGCAGTCATCTCTTAAACAGCAACTCAACACCCTTTTAAAACACGCAGGCTCTTCAGGCTGCCGTTATGTAAGCAGTGAAGAGCTCAGAAAACTGTTTGATGTTCAGACTCGCTAGCAGAGTGATCACAGCCCCTCTTTCATCTCTGTTGTTAGCAGCAGCCCCAGAACCATTCCCAGCTTGGCAGAAATGTGGCCACATTCAACAGCTTTCAGCCCGTGCAGCGAGGAACGGGGACGAGCTCCCATTCCTCCAGACTGTCCTCCAGGATTGCTGCTTGGCTCATGAGAACCCCACTAGAAAATCTGGATTTGGCACCTGATTTCTTTCCAGGCCAATGATATCTCTCAGGCTTAGCCTGGTCCCCTCCCAGCCCGGCAGCTGCTGAGCACGACTCTTACCAGGGATGTAGAGGTGCGACCTGGAGAGAGATGATGTCTCTGCAACCTGCTCCAAGGGCCCAGATGACTTCGTGACCCACAGGGTCTGTAGAGCTCCTGGAATGACACAGAAGACACGTGGTAGTCCCTGCCGGCTGTGTGCTGTGCCATGGGGCTGTGTCTGCAGCTTCCAGGCCACTCTCCACACATGGAGGCTCAAATCTAGTTATTGTGTTTAATCTGTTTTCTGCCTGTGAACCAGACAGTCCTAGCACCAGCACATGCAGGAGGAAGACTAAAGGCACTTCCATCTGGAATTGGACATGCAGTGCCAAGAAAAATGGAAGAGATTGCTGTTGAAGATGAGGTGGGTGATGAGGTTGAAGACGAAGGCAGGGCAGTGTCTTCCAGATTCAGAGATGGCACATGAGCCATGCAGTGCCCATGATGGGGCTGGATCATAGAATCATAGAAACAGTAGGGTTGGGAAAGACCTTTGAGGTTGAGTCCAACCATAAGCTCCTCAACACCATGCCTGTAAAACCATGTCCCTAAGTGCTTCATTTATCCATTTCTTGAACACTACCAGGGATGGTGACTCCACCACTTCTCCGGGTAGCCTGTTTCAATGCTTGACTACTCTTTCCATGTAGATTTTTTTCCTAATTCCTAGCCTGAACCTTCCTTGACACGACTTAAGGCCGTTTTCCCTTGTCCTAAAAGGAAAAGGAAAAGGATGGCTGCAAGTAATTGAGCTGAGGCTGACCAGGCTGTGTTCCCCTGCAAAATGAACATATCATCCCTGTGAGGCCCACCAGGGTGGTGTCACTTTCTCCCTGCCTGGCCTGGGAGCTGGTAATGACATTTCAGCTGAGGGGTGGCAATGTCTATCCAAGGGCAGTGTCTTCTCCAGAGCCCTGAAGCTATTGGCTCTCTCCTCCAAGAGTTAACTTGGTTAATGGAGGAGAGATGTTGAATTTCCAGGTCTTTCTGATGCCACTAGGCCAGAGAGAGGTGCTGCTGGAGGCTCCGGGCCTCTCTGCCACACCGAGCTCCCTTCTGAAGATGGAGGACATGCTTACCAACTCCGAACGACCTAGTTCAGAACTCCAGGCAGGCCTAAAAATAAGTGACGGGTGTTACTGTGAGCAGTTCACACATTTCCGTGGAAGATGCCTGCCAAGAGTCCCTTGCATTAATTAGAGCACGTGAGTCACAGTCACAGGTTAGCGAGGCGCTGGGAGCACTTGGGCTTGCTCAGCCCTTGGAAGGGCACATGGACAAGTCACTGGGTCGAACCCCATGGTTCAGGGCTGTCTCGTGGCAGCACACAGCGGCACAACCACAAGACCTTCCTGTATGCCTGGAGTGAGGCCACCTCCAGCCTCGCACTTCCCCACCGCAAAGACTATCTGCTCTGGACAAGACAAGGAGAAATCCAGGCATTGCGGGTTGCTTGCTCTGGGGTTTGTCTTGGTGCAGGCAGGATACTGAGGCTGTACTGCCTGGAGAACAACCCCCAGGCTGTCCTGCCAGGCAACCCTGGCTTGGGAAATTGCTCCCTTAGCAGAGGGAAACTCAGCAGCTGAAGGACACTGGTGGCCCCAGGTTTTTCCTCCCTGCTCCCCTCTCCCCAGCAGGAGCGACCTGCCGGCAGGAGCGGTGCTGGGCGTCGCGGCGCGCGGCGTCTCCTCGCCCCCCGGTCCGTGACGGCCTGCAGGCCCCGGCAGTAGCAGCTGGCCAGCCAAAGCGAGCGGTCGGTCAGCACGTTGGGGCAGTGGGAGATGCGCAGGATCAGCAGGTTGCTGCCCGTGGCCTTCAGCAGTGACTCCAGCCCGGCTTCGAGGCAGCCCCTGCCGAGGACAGAGGGAAATTTGGGCTCATCCCAAGGGGACAGGGAAAAACAACTCAAAAAACCCCACAGTTTCTTGGAGAGGTCCCATTATTGTGGCTTTAATCTGGCTGCAAGGGGCAACCTTGTTGGCTCAGGAGCCCCTCAGCTGCGCGGGGCAAGTCCCCTGTAGGAAAAGGGACTGGTTCAAATCCCTGGGTGCCACTGAGGGCTCCCCACACTGGAGCCAGTGTGTGTGCATGTGTGCACTGAGGAGGGCTGCGTTTTGCTCCTTGCTCGCAGATGGGGTGCCGTGTCCCACACCTGGCGCGTGACGCTGTGGCATTGACCCGGAGATGCTGGAACTGGCCGGTAAGAGCGGATGCTAAAGCTGGCGGGTGCCCAGGACTCACCGTGTGCTCTTCATGTAATCCTCCTTGCTCTCCTTCTTCCCGCGCTGGCGCGGCTTGAGGTTTTGGAGGGTGAGGGAGTGTGTCTGGGTGCACCACTGCGACAGCATGGCCAGGAACTGGGGGGACGGAGGGTGCCCGTTGGCTGGGGACGGTCTCACAGTGCCCCGCGCCGCCCGTCCTCATCTCTCTTGGCTTGCACACCCTCCACCCCAGACCATCTCGGAACATGCGGTTGCAGAGGGATGTGGCATGCATGGAGCCCCACGGCATGGGCAGGAGCACACGTGCATGTGACAGGCACCGCGTAGAAATGCGTGGCCAGGCGTGCAGGAGCGTGCAAAACCTCCCATGCAAACCCCGTGGGCCTTGCCTTTCACGTGGCCATGGCACTCGTGAACACACACACGTGCAACACATGCGCACATCCTGCTTTGTCCTCCTGGAAGGACAAGAGCATTGCATCCCTCCACGGATGGGGACGCGGGGATCGTCCCCGCGCCGTTACCTTTGAGGACACCCTGGCGTTCTCCAGCAGCACCCGTGTCCACACGGCCGGGTGCCGGGCCACGAACTTCCAGTCCTTGCAGACCTCAGCCACGCGCAGCAGCGTCTTGGTGTCCAGGTAGGTGAAGATGCAGAACAGCGCTGCCCGCATCTTGAGGATCTCGGGGCCCACGAACTTCCAGTCCTTGCAGACCTCAGCCACGCGCAGCAGCGTCTTGGTGTCCAGGTAGGTGAAGATGCAGAACAGCGCTGCCCGCATCTTGAGGATCTCGGGGCTGATCACCTCGCTGGAGTGGCCCGGGCTGCCCTTCTCCAGCCGGCCCGCCTTGCCCACCGCCCCCTCGGACCTGGCTGTGTGACACGCGGCCTCAGTCCCCAGGCTGTCCCTGGACCAGCCTTCCCGAGGGATGTACAGGCTGCCAGGCTGGCCAAGATGAGGAAGGGGATAAGGGGAACCCCAAGGAATGGCTCCATCCCCTCTCCAGGCTTTCTGCCTTCGTGCCCCAAGCCCCAGGGCAGGCAGGAAATCTCAGTCTGGGCACAAACCCACCCTCTGTCTCTAATTAGAGCAGGAAACTTCAAGGAAAAGGACAGGGATCCCCGGGGACGCCATCGGCTCTCACCTGTCAGCCGGCAGCTGCTCACGGGCCGGGAGGCGCCGGGCGCCTCAGGCTCCCACCCCTCGGCCTCCGACTCGGTGGTGCGGGAGCCCACGTCGGAGATGTCGCCCTCCTCGCCCTCGGTGCTGTTGCGGTAGGGCCGGCGCTGCCCCAAAGAGTAC